CATCATACCCAATAGAAACTATATTTAGTAGTTTCTTCTTTCACTGTGGAAATTAAAGAATGGTATAGATTTAGTGCACTTTTATTGTGCTACAGTGTTCATCCCACTGTATGTGTATGGAAATGCTTAGTGAATAAGTTAGTGCTATTGACTGCCTCCTAATTTAATTTATAATTTATCTTAACATTTAGGGAATGTACAAGTTAGTTGCTGATAGAACAAGTGATTAAAGGCTGCAAGATTTCAACATATAAATGAAATGACTTTAACTTTCAAAACATTTTGAATTGAAAATGTCTTACCTGCGTTCTTTCCATACCAGTATGAATCATCAGCACCTCAAGGATGAATCATCAGCCTTTTATATTGATGTTTCACTCTTTTTTTTTTTTTTTTTCTTGACAGAGTCTTGCTCTGTCACTCAGGCTGGAGTGTAGTGGCATGATCTCAGCTCACTGCAACCTTCCCCTCCCAAGTTCAAGCAATTCTTGTCTCAGCCTCCTGAGTAGCTGGGATCACAGGCACCCGCCACCACGCCCAGCTAGTTTTTGTATTTTTAGTAGAGACAGGTTTTCACTATCTTGGCCAGGCTGGTCTTCTTGAACTCCTGACCTCGTGATCCACCTGCCTTGGCGTCCCAAAGTGCTGGAATTACAAGTGTGAGGTACCACGCCTGGCTGATGTTTCACTCTTAATTACATTGTTTGATTCCCTCTATCATGATGATGTTTGAAATGCTTTTGCAGTAACTTTCATGTTTTTTCAACCTGGGAGTAAATAATGAGAATCTGAAGGTCAAGGAGGAACATTCTCTTTAAACTCTTTGCATTTATCATTTTATTTGTTCTCTGACCTGCCAACCAAGAGTGGCCTCAGAAGTTAGCGGTGCAGTAGAGCTATTCAGGTCATGTAGAATGGTTCAAAACCAACAGAGGTCCAAAGAGCAGTTTTTGATACTTGAAACCATGTTTTTACTTAAAATTTATTGCATATGCATTAGTAACTTTCTCTTAAAAAAAAGAGAAATACAAATGTACATGTTCACGTAGATAAAAGGTAAATCACTGTTCTCTATTCCATGGGATTCTATCTCCTGAGCCACAAATCTGAGTGCTGACAAAGGTTTCTATACCACTGCTGAGTGTAAAAGGATGTCTGTGAAATAGAGGTTATGTAATGAAATGCTAGAATTTCAGAGTAATCCAGTGACTAACAGAGCTAGAATCAGAATCTGAGCTGCCCAGAAACACCCAAAGCATAAGACCCTCACAAATGATTCATTTTAATACAGAAGTGATGGCCTCTATCTAGTGCACTATCAAGATCTGGAGTTTCTTGATAGCAAGTTTGTATTTTATTTTGGATCTATCATTGCACATTGTGCAATCTTGAAAACACATGGGAAAGGCTGACATTCAGCTCCAATGTGGCCAAAACAATGGTGTAGCTACTATCTGTTCTGATTGTCAGTGCCTATACCATAGCAATTGCCAAACATTTTTATTATATGATGTTCTCTTTCTTTCAGACACAAACATACACTCACACACAAAGGAGATGAGTGTTTTTAGAGTGCTGATTGAGTTTCCTTGGAGGAAATAAAATACTTTGCAGCAATGAGGTAAGATTATACATTTTAGCATACCCAAATGAATGTTTCTTCTAGATTTTATAGGGAGTTGATAGGCACTGTATATATGCATTTATATGTATATATACATATGAATATGAATATACATGTGTCATATACATGCAGAACATATTGTATATGATATGTTTGCATTCTAGAGTGTATATATAGATATACATATTAATGTTTATACATACAGATACATATTCTATATCACCCCTCTACTGGGTTTGTGTGCTCTTGTGCACACAAATAATTTTCAGAATTTTATTTCTGAGACACACCATGTGTATACTTGTGACTCCATTTTCATGATTAAAAACATCCTATTCTGTGAACCCACTGCAACTTTTTCAGTTTTCTGCTGATAAATGTATATTGTTTTCAGTGTTATTATTTTATAAGCAATGTTTCATTCTTTGTTATGCTTGCTATTAATAGCATATATGCTGAGGAATAAAATTGCTAGATGATAAAATACAGGCATCTTCAACTTTATGGGATATTGACCAATCATTTTTTAAATAGTGTAAATCAATTTATGTCACCAGCAATGGGCAAGAGTTCTTTTGTTCCACATCTCTTTTAACCCTTGACATTGTCTAACTTTTTATTTTCTTTAGATAATGGAGTAAAAATGTATCTTATTAATTTTTTATTTCTCTGATTTAAAGTCATGTGCTAGAGAATATTTTCATGTATTTATAGTTCATTTGCATTTTCTCCTGTATGAATTGCTTGTTGAAATCTTCTGCTCAGTTTTCTATTAGGTTTGGTTTACTCCTTAGAATATTATTTTTCTCAAAGATCATTCCAAAAAAATTGGAAGGATGTCTTTTTCATGAATAGAAGTGAGAATATATAATGTGAACTTCAATATGGCGAACAGACACTGCTTATTCTTTGAAAAGATAAAAACACTAAGGCAATGTTGATCAGTGGACCATAACAGTACTTGGATTCCTGCTTAATTACAAATTGGGCATTGAGAAGGGCTTCTCTCCTGCCAGTAATTATACTGGAGGGTTGCCTTGATAGTAGTGGTCTTCTGGTCTGAAAAGAAATCATGTACACCTATGTGAGAGTGCCCCTTATGTGTCCAGGGAACACACTGTGAAGAGTCTGAGTCCAACTCTTACTCACTTTGACTTATCTCACTGATTATAGAACAAGGCTGCTGTCCAGACCTTACTGGCTCTTCCAAGCAGATGTGTACAGGTGGCCTGCAATCTCAAGTGCTCTTCTATAAATAAAGTTTATTAGGGAATTAAGTGATCACTTGTCCATTTTGAAAGGAGTGGATTGGACCCATGAGCCTGGCTGCTTGAAGATTTTAGGGATGCCCTGGCATCTTCTTGTCTAAGGAAGCTTCCTTTTCTAGGTCTTTCTGTACCTCTAGAGATTTCTGGGTTTTTTTTTTTTTGTACATAACACGGTCCATAAGCGATGTAATGTATTAGATTATGTAGAGCATAATAAAGCATTCATGTTTTCCTTCCTCAACATATAGAAAGCAGATGTGTTTCTAAAGCTGCTCAGAAAGTGAAGGTGTAAGTAAGAAAAAAATCATATTTTGTAGCCAAGAAAATGAAAGAATTATATTTCCAGGCTAGGGTCATGATGTGCATATGGGCTCACCTCTACACCTGGGTATGGCTATTTGCCAACTAAAAAAAGGGGGACGTGAATGACCCATTTCAGTGTAAGTTTTCTGTGCCTGATATTTGTGGTCATGTTGAGATGTCCATAAAATTAATGATAATAATAATGAGGCAAAAAACCTTTAATAGGTTGAAGTTTCATCTTACTGGGAGCAGGTGAGATGGCTAAGTCTGCTTGGATTTTATGGGTCATGTTACAATGGGAAATTAGACTAATTTATTAGAGTCCCAATTTCCTGATGTGTAACATGGAGATGTGGTCATACTGCTTGAGTCCAAGTACTAGTCTTAAAAATAAAAATAATAATTATTATTTTATACCATCATTTTAGCAATGAAAAATCACTAAAACCCAAGGTGTTTTCCTGACTTTCCCGTGGATATACAGCTGATGATAAGTGAAATCAGGTTTAACCTAGACCCTACATTCAGTGCTATTTCTGATAATATACCCTTTCTCTCCTCTTGATATATAGAGATTTGTTTATCAGATGAGGCAGTAAATATAAAAGTGTTTTGAAGAAACGAAGCCTGCAGTCAGTTATATACTTTAAGGCATCAATTCTTAAATAGAGAGGGGAAAAATGCTGTATTTAGATTCACCCTTTGTCAATTATTTACGAACAAGCCACGCGGTGCTCCACCAATGTGCAAATTATCATGCCAAATGCTAGGAGTGCCAAACAGGGCTTCCCAGTCTTGGCACTAGTGGTATTTTGAGCCAGATACTTCTTTGTTGTAGAGGTTGCCCTGTTCATTGTGAGATATTTAGCAGCATCCCTGGCCTCTACCCTCTAGACACCAGTAGCACACCACTCCTCCCCAGTTGTGACAACCAAAAATATCTCTAGATATTGCCAAATGTCTGCTGGAAGGAAAAGTGCCTCCTTAGCCCTCAGCTGAGAAGCATTGGTATAGGAATACAAAAGGTGCTCTCTATTCTCTAAAGAGTATGTATGACGTAGGGTAGAGGGTGATGTTGGACTTAGGGTAATTTCTGCATGTGTATCTCAAATGAGAAAGCTGAGCAGGTTCACACTGAACACACCATAGAAGGCCTTATGTGGGCTGACAAAGAGTTTTGTTTCTAATCTTGGTTTTAGCTTCTTATTCCATACGTATGAATAACAATGAAAACGGCTATGCCAAAAGTCTCACCACAATTTTAGGAATGAAGAAATGCTGCCTTCCCTTTCTTAACAGCGGTCTCTCAAACAAGAAGTTAGTTTTTGATAATACTAAATTTTCAATTTTATCACAAATAAAAATAAAATTTCAACAGAGCATGTATTTTATGTCACTTATTTGTTATTGATTGATTGATTTTTTAGAGATGGCATCTTGGTCTGTCATCCAGGATGAACTGCAGTGGTGCAATCATGGCTCAGTGCATCCTTGAACTCCTGACCTCAGGTGGTCCTTCTGCATCAGCCACTGGAATAGCTGGAACTACATGTGCAACCACACTTTAAAAACATTGTAAGAGACAGGGTCTCACTACGTTTCTCAGGCTGTTCTGAAACTCTCAGACTCAAGCAATCATTCCACCTCTGCCTCCTGAGTAGCTGGGAATACAGGTGTGAACCACTGCGTTCATCTCTGTTAAAATTTTCAATAGTACAAAAATGTATTAATTAAAAGTATATGTTTGTTTTTAATTACCTTATGTGAAAAATCTTTCCCTGTATTTTCTGTTCCATTGAATGGTCAGATTTTTTTGATTGGGTGTATTTGTCTTGTCATTGGTTCTGCTCCTTTACTAACTACACCAATTATTAATCTCTGCATCTATATTGTCTTTAATCATTTTTATTATTATTTTCTCTCAAGCCTGTCTTCCAACTTGATGGATACACTGGTAACATTATCTATTCTATTTCTTGCTGCTTTCACTATGCTTTTTATTTCTGTAACAATTTGTTTATCTGCATTTTTTGAGACAATATGGGACATGTTGAAAGAAGAAATGTTGAAAATTGATGAGACGAACCAAAGAAGGAAGAAAAACCAAAGAGAAAAGCAAGGATGAATACAGCAAAGCTGTTTGATATCTGGAACTGTGGACAAAGATCAGAGATTGAGAAAGCATGTGAAGACGTCAGTGGGGCTCACACTGAATTTGAGCCAATTCCACAGTTTCTTAATGGGACTCCTAGGTGTGGATAAATGGACTTAGAGCACAAGACAACTCATGGGAACTAAGCTGATGGAGAGTGAAGAAAGGAAAAGGGACAAAATGGGGTGAGTGTATTACTTTGGGCTCTTCAGAGAAACAAAACCATGAAGATCTAGCTATATCTGTCTCTACCCTAAGGAATTGGCTTACATGACTGTGGAGGCTGAGAAGTCCAAGATCTGCATTCAGCAGGCTGGAGACCTAGCAGAGCCAATGGTATAAATTGCAGTTTTAATCTAATTTGAAGGCAGAAGACCTATGTACCACCTTGAAGATAGAGAATTTCTTTTTATGTGAACCAAGAGTTTTGTTTCTGTTTTTGTTTTTATATTTTTAATAGGCACAAATAGCAACAAAAACTGCTGTAACAGGAGACAACACATTTTAGGAATAAACTGTCTTCTCCTTCTTAACTGTGGTCTCTCAAACAAGACATTAGTCTTTGGTGATACTACATTTCCAATTTTGTCACAAATAAATAATACATAAGTGACATAAAATACATGCTCTGTTGAAATTTTGACATTCAGTAGATTAGGTGAGGAGCCCATCCACAATGGGGAGAGAAATCTGGTTTACTCAGTCTGCCCATTCAAATGTTAATCTCATATAGAAACACTGTCACAGACACCTGCAGAATACTGTTTAACCAAATATCTGGGCACCCTGATTTGTCAAGTGTACAAATAGAATGTATCATCATGTTGGCCTCGTGAGGCCACTTATCCATAGATCCAGTATGAGAGACCTTCCCTGCTACACACATAAAAGCCCCAGTTTGAGCTCCTATTCAAGGAGTGCCCTGCATCCTGGCTCATTCATACATGCTCTGCACCTCTAACATCGGCGGACACATATGACACACAACACGGATGAGAAATGTTCCCTAATCCTATGCTGCAAATAGTAGAAAAAGTAAAGAAATTCAGTGCTAGGCATGATTGTAATCAGGGTACAAGGAAGCACCACAAATAATCTAAGGCTAAAGAAATTGCATATTATTCTCTCTTGAGGACTGATATTTTAAAAGTATGTACATATACAGCAAGGAAGGACTAGAACACTCACTAACTTTAGTATTCTCTACATGTTCTTAAATTCCCAATAGAGTTAATCCCTAAAACACAAAGCAGTATCTCCATTTTAAGTACCTACCTGTAAAGAGTTCATTTAAAGTAAGCTAGGGGGTCATGAGGTAATTACAATAACCACAAAACTGCAAAAACTTCATAACAATAAATATTCTCAAACAGAAGACCTCCCATTACAGAATAGTCAAAGTCATCACACATTATTGACAAACGCAAAACTTAAAAGTAAATCACAGCAGCTGAGTATGCAAGCTGCAAATGTTTAAATTATTCCATTTACCAAGTTTTTAAATGATAAACAAAAATTCAGAGCTCAGTTTAAGTACATAATCAACAAAACCCAAGCATATTATATTTTAATGAGTTCCAATCACACTTAAGGAATTCATTGTGACATCCTGTAAGAGATGAGTGCTTGGATGCTCTAGGAAAGATGGTTATGGAGCATTGTTGTTGGTATCTGGATACTATAGGCAGAGCCAGACAGAAAAATGAGTGGTAATGTGAGCTCCTGGGGAGGTTCAGGAAGTCATAATAGGAGGAGGATCCAAGATGGCGGATTAGACACAATTCCAGCGCACAACACCCAGGGAGAGAGACGCAGAAACCCAGAGATCTCCTAGCTCCAACTGAGGTACCAGGTGCATTTCAACGGGTCTGGTCTGAGGGTGAGCAAAGCCCACTCAGGGCAGACCAAGGCGGGGAGGGGTGCTGCTTCATCCAGAAAGTGCATCTGACAGGCAAGTCAGAGGCTCCACCTCTGGTGCTCGGGTCCAGATACAGCGCTTCCCCCAAAGCCTCAGCAATACACAGAAAAAGGGATCTTTGCCAGTCAAGCGCCAGGAATTACAAGTGCGGAGTTGAGTAAGAGTCTGCAGACTGAGCTACTGCCCCTGCCCGCC